ATTGAATATTGTCTATAATGTGATTCACAAAAATTAGATGGTGTAGAACAATTTTTTAGCCATTTAGAAACGATTTTTGGCGGCTAAATCGTTAAAAAGGTATTCAAGAGAAAAAATTAGATTAAAAAGTAGTATTTATATAAATTCTTCAAAATGTGTACTTCATACTTAGTAGAATTAAAATTATTTTATGTATCAGACTTCTGTAACTATTCTATTACTTTTTTGTATCTGTTTTCTATTATAGAGTGTTTGCATTTAATGCGATCTACAATAAAAAATGCAGTACAAAAAATTTGTACTTTGAGATATACAAATCTGTCTGTGAAACGCATATGTATGTTATCAAGTTTTGAGACTAACTTGAGAAGATATGATCTGAATAGACTGAAATTTTTTTGACAAATTTGGGTTAAATGTCTCAGCTGATGGTTTAAATTCAGACAAGTTTGATCAAAGCATAAAATTTTGACAATGTTTTTAGTACAGTGCTCTAAAAAAATTAAAAAATCTAGTTTTTCCACGATAACTTTTTTCACCGATATTTTATAACATCCATACACCATAAGACATACTGTAACTACCCTCTTTTTAAGTACAAAATATCGTTCACACAAAATATAGACGATTTATAAGTGGTCACAATCGTGGCTCTAAAAAAATATGAGGCATACATACATCGGTTGTGCCTAAAATGTACAATATCAACTTTTATAAAGTATAAATTAAATTTTTTTGTTAACTGGTGTCTGGATTCAAAACTAATATTTTGCTCTGAACTATTAAAATTAGTCTGATAACTTAATCAATGTAAGTGATTACGCTCGCGTAAGTACTCCCACTCATAAAGTCGTTTTTCTAAATAATGTGTTTTCAGCTTAAAGACTACAAAAAAATTTCTGATGAGTTAAAAAAAAAAAGTACTATCTGTATAGTAAAAAAGATTTCGTTCGTAAATAAAAAGAAATTTTTCAAGTCCTTAATATCCAATACCATATCTTTTATTTTACTAATGCTTCAATGGTATTTTTTACAATAAGCCATACCATACATTACTCTCCAGTCAACTAAGCCTTTTATCCATAAGCTTATGTTTAACTTTAAATGGCTCTGAAAACTACTCGGAAATTTTTATTAACAAACTAAGAATTACGATTCGAAATGTTTTGCTTTTCAAAAATTTATTGAGAAAAATTTTTTATTGTTTACCTTAAAAAATGTCTAACCTTAACAGTAGTTAAATCAAACGACAAAATTGCGTAATAAAACAAATTCTAATTTCCCAACATCAATAACTTGCTTACAACCCAAGAATGAGTGGAAAAATCTTTAGATAAATTTATAAAACTGAAAATTTTTCATACGATTTAATAATATTTGTCGCTCCTTAAGGCAATTAACTATATTCGTAATGCAGATCTGCTGAGTACTCAACAAACACGTCACAAATATTTTTCTTTGTTTATGTCGTAGTCTTCTTTACGTATTGTTTCTCGAAAAGAAACAAAGGAAAATACTACTGCTCTTTATAAGAGCTTCATTCATTTGTTGTAAAAAAATCAATTGGTAATCACTGTTTTAAGAAATTTGTCTGCTTTCTAATAGTTCAACTAAATATTTAACTAAGTTTTATACAGTTATTAATAAGGTTGTAAAAAGTGTTGACCACTTTCGAAGTGTTGATCGTAACTATTATGTCAAAACGGTGTAAAAAACTAAGTACTATTAAATTATTTTTTAATGATTTTTTACTTTATCAATAATAGTTGTATAGCCATCTTAACAAGGATGAAATGTTAATAAACATTTTACTTACTATTTACATTATATGTCTTTAGAAACATTTTAATAACTAAAAAAATTACCTAACTAATAAATTTACAAAGAATAGTCATTACACAATGTATACATAAGAACTAAATACTATAATTGAAAAAAGTTTTGTAGTACCATCAACGAAAACGAAAGGTTCAAAATGTGAAAAAAAAAATTATGACACGGAAGACATTTGAACCCGGGAGTGCTCAAAGTAAAAGTATACGTTGCAGCACTTAACCACCTCGACTACTACAGCACAGTCTCATAAAGTACTCAAAGTGACATATGCTTACATCGAAGCGCTTGAAATGAAGTTTGTGAATAAGTTTTTTTTATATTGATATAATTGTTTGGAGTACAACTGACTTACAAGTAGAATTATTATATCATTAACTTTTTCACAATTACTTATTCTTATCAGAAAAATTAAATGTGTTAAAAAATGACATTTAAATTCTAGAAAAATCCTTCTGAATGAAATGAACATAAGAATAATAGTAAAGAGAGTGTATATTATTGGGATATTTTTACGTGTAGAATATTTATTAATGAGTTCATATTTTTTAATTTAACAGTATATGTTTATCAATAACGTTAGTTTTTTTTGCGTAGCTGTAACAACATTAATTATTCAATTTTTAAGAATGATAATTTCATAAAGATCTAGTTCCAAGAATCAACATTAAATATTGGGGCTCACATTTTTATTACTCAGCTTTTTATGTTATACAAGGAAATTTAAGTATTTAGCTGTACAAGTATTTAATACTAATTCAACGAGTAGTACATGACAGGCCGTATAATAACTGTTGGACATTTTAAATCGTTTTTGAGGGAAAATCACATCAGGAACAAATATAGGTATACATGAATGCGAGAGCTGCAAGAGCCGAGAGCCAAGAGCTCAAGCAGGAGGCAGCCAGTGTACCTACAAAACATATATAGCTATCCCCATGTATAAGCACGTATTCCTTCTCCCTCTACTAGGTACCTCGGTACCCATCGTACGCACACTTTGATCTTCCCCTCCACTGTTAAAACGTGCGTGTGGTTCGGCTGATTTGCCGCGACGGGGCGCTCAAAACAGCGGAAAAAAGCATCACTCATATCTCCCTCTCGTCATATACCGTGACCTGAGAGAGGCTTTGGATAGCACCATGTGCTGCAGCCATCAGTGAGGTAAAACAACGTGAAAAAACATATTTCTTCTCAGCTCTTTTCTCGTCACACGCTGCTGCAAGAAAGGGATACAAGATTTTGCTGCGTGCTGCAGTCGTCAAAGGTAGTGTATCGTAAGGCTAAGTTTATCATGTCTTTAATTGAAGATTGGCAAGTTGTGTATTTTGACAGTACAGTATTTTAAATTTAAGTATACATATATTAGCTAAGTTCCTGTTATCTATCCACGACATTTTATTCAACAAGAAAATTTTAGGACAACTATTATTTGAAGGACATACATTATTATTTCAGTATCTCTTAAAGTCAATTAGCAAGCTTCAAGAATAGAATTAGTAATAGTCATAAGATTCTCATTGTTGAACTTATTGATTTTGAAATTATTAAATGTATGTAAAATTGAACACGCTTTTTTAATTTTTTTTTTTTTTAATTTGATTTGAGCCTACTACTTATTTATAAGGTAAGAAATCATACTTGACACTTTTATGTTAAAATCCTTGGATATAAACTTCTACTTCTGATTTCTGTAAACCTAAATATTAGACTCTGTTTGTATATGAATGAATGACATTAGTTTACAATTTAAGTTTAAATTAGATTACTTTTAACTTTATTTGTCCTTTTCAAAAAACTGTTTCAACTATTAACGTATTAGGTTTTAGTTTAAACAGTAGACACCTTATAGATAAAATGTTTTTCTATGCAAAAGGTTGGATTTTAGAGATTCTAAAACGCGTTTGTTTCTTAAATGAAAATTCGACGTGCATGGTTTTTAGAGCTTAATCTGACGTGTCTCGTTTTTTTTTCATGGTGCAGATCAAACATACAATATCTTGTTTACTGGAGATTTGCATTACTATTGAGCTATAAGGGGTTGGCTGTACCCTCATACGCACCGTAAGTTTAGATAAATCTCACTATTTGTGTCTCAACGCATAGCTTGATTTCATTAGATAGAAAAAGAAAATGATTTACATACTCATTGATATCTCATATATTATACGAGACTCAAGTAAATCTTAACCTGCGGTGCATATGAGTTCAAAGCCTTTGATTTCTCAATGGTAGAGCAACTGTCTGGTAAACAGAAAGTTGTGCATTCGACGCACACCTAGGGGAAGATTTTTGACTATTGACATCGTGATAAAAATATCAAAATTTGCTTGTGCACCCAGTGTTATCGCATTAAATATCTGAATTACTGATGAGCATTGGGATTGTTTTTATAGTGTCTTATAAAAACTTTTTTCTCTTTTTTTAAAGTTGTGAATCTCAAAAATAATTAAAATAAAACGTAACTTTTTTTAGCATGAGGATTTTTAAATTCAAGTTTAGGAAGAATGAGAAAAAATGTTTGTGAGCCGATCATTGTCTCAGTCAAATTAATAAAATGTTTCAAAAATTTAATAATTGTATCGAACAACATCTCGATTAAAAAAATTATGCCCAGAAAATATGTTAAAAAATTTTTCATACGTATACTTTTTTGTAGAATTTTCAACCTGCTGCTACTGTTTTTTTGGTAAAAACATAAAATGACACATGTTAACGAATAATTATAAAAATTATACTTCACCTCACGAATCTAATTTTTTGTATACTTTCCTGAGCAGGTTCAGTAGATATACAACTATTTCCTCCACAGTCATAAATTCTCTAAAGCTTGCCTCGCAAATATGCATACTTTTATGCTGTCCTACTTCATTACTACGAGCCTTAAATTGGGGGATCCTGTGTTTGCTCTAAAAAAACTTTCGTTGAAACGCACTGAGTTAAACACTACTAACATGCACGACGCAGTTTTGTTTGCTTTCTAGAGAAAATTCAAAATATTTTTTCTTGTTTGTGTTAAATTTGATAGTTTCTTGACTTTTTCGTTGGTTAATAAGTTTAAAACATGAATATTGGCTTACAATCCTTCAACTTAACTTTACTTGGATAAAAAATATGGTTTTAATTGCACATGGAGAGAAGTAAATAAAAGTAAAAATGACGCTTACCTGAATGAGTTTATCTCCCTTTAAAACATCTAAATGTAATCCAACAGGAGGTTTTCCAGCCCTTGAAAAAATATTTTATTTAAGAGAATACGTGTATACGATTCATAAAAAATCAGTATAAATTATTGTGTATATAATTGTTTTTGTGCATGGTTGCACTTACAACGCCAATTTTATTTTTGGAAACGATTTATATAATATATATCAGAATCTGCAAAAATATTTTATTTACATAAAGGTAATGTTTATGCTTACCAAAGAAATCAAAAATTGAATAATAAAATAATAAATACATTTAGTTTATAAAAGCAAGAGCTTCGTACGCATTATTTAAATTACAAGCTAGCACACCTAATTAAGACATTGTTTAACGTTAATTTCTTTAAAGCTTTTCAATTTAACGCCAGTGCTAAATATGACTGGAGTATACTCGGGACCAATAAAAATACTTTTTTGAATACATACTGAAATGAACTTTATATTATATGACCAAACTTATTTGTTACACTGCACCTTTTATCTTTGTTTTCTAACTACTAGTGTGATTCTTACTTTCTATAAACATTCACTATCTTATCAGTAATCAATAAACAAGAAAAATCGGTTAAATCTAGTACCTATGTATAGCACAGCGACTACTCTTGACAAGAGATAATACCGCAGTAGGAGGAGAAGCAAGTTGCGCCACCACGCTTGATCTCTCTGTCACTTGCATTTAGGCATGTCCGTTTTAGTAGACGCCATATTACTTTTTGAAGAGTTAACAGGCTAGAGTGCCAAGTCAAACTCAACACTCCCTTTTTTGGCAGCTAGCCCGAATCTGCCTGTATAACTATTGCTTTATGTGAACAGAGTAAGAATTATTTTCAACCATGTTTGTTACTTGAATATGAGTCTCATAAAACAGAGGCTTGCTCATGATGTCAGCTATCTGCTTCTGAAACTCCATCTATCTAGCTTACACGAAACTTCTAGCCACGTTCTCAAACGTAACACTCTTTCACATGAAACGTATGTTTTAGCTTGTTACTGTTACTAACTTGACTACCAGCTTTCGGCAGCTCTGTTATCACACTACGCAGAAAGATGCCATACATGAACGTGCGTCACTCATAACTGCACACTTAGCCTGACATGCGGACAAAGCTATGTAGAACTGTTTTTGTGTCACAAACTGCGTCGCTAAAAATTTCTTTTACAAGGCCGCTTATTGTCAATGAGCCTTTTCAGTCTGCAAAACTTTGGTGTGATTACATCTGTCTCGCTTCGTATTTATTCCTAGAAATGTTTTACCTCTCCCATGTCAGTTTTGTTAAACTCGGACTCTAACTTGTCCTTTATTTACTCTAGCTTTCGAACACCATAACTAGCAATCAATATGATATTTGCAAAGCAACCTGTCCATCTTCCTCCAGGTGAAGAGACACTATTCTAGCTATTGGATTTTCAAGTAAAGTTTTAATGCTTTTGTCTATCTGCTTTTTTTCTTATTCACACTTTTAAGCTAATCTTTAGACCGTAGAAGGTTCGTTGTATCTTACATACCTTTTGTAACTTGGTTTCTGCAGAAACTTTATACCATTTGATTATTTTTACATGAATCATAGTCTATCTTTTCATTTAAAAATCTTATCTTATAAAATTACAAACATAATTTGATTATACTCTCTGCACACTAATACCACAAAACTGGAAGTGTGAGAGCCCACAATCATAACCTCTATTTGTTATGAGCACTCAGATTCCCAGATAATTAAGAAAATAGCACGTTTCCAGCGATATCTTTCCGTTTGCCAGTGCTAAAATCACAAAAATAATTTTATTATACTCTCTACACGCTAATACAACAAAACTGTAAGTATGAAAGCCTGCAATGATAACCTCTATCAGTTAATAGCACTTAGATTTCCAGATAATTAAAAAATTAGCACTTATTCGGTGATATCTTACCATTCACTGGTGTTTAAATTACAAAAAAAATTTTATTATTCATGATTTACGCTATTACAACGAAATTGTAAGTATTAGTGCCCGCAATCATAACCTCTATTAGTTATGAGCACTCAGATTGCCAGATAATTACAAACCCAACACTTTTCCGGCCATAGTTCTTCATTCGCCAGTGCTAAATTCACTAAAAAAATTATACTATACTCTCTAGAGACTAATTTTACTAAACTGTAAGTATTAATTCCCGTAATTATAACCTTAAATAGTTACAGGCACTTAAGTACCTAACAAATTCAAAAATCAGCACTTTTTTAGCTACGATTTTTTATTCGCTAGTGCTAAAATTGGAAAAAAAACTTTTAATACACTTAGATAACTAAACTGTTAGTATAATAGCCCGCAATCATAACCTAAAACAGTTATAGGCCTTGAAATACCGAGTAATTTGAAGAAATAGGACTTTTGCGGCATTATTTTTTTATTCGCCAGCGTGACATTCACGAAAAAATTTTTTCGTACTCTTTATTTACTGATACAATTTATCTGTAAGTTCTTATGCCTGCTAACATAATTTCACTAGTTGTGAACGCTTGAATCCTAAAATAACGAACTGAAATTTGGATTTGTTCACATGGCAGTCGAAAAACTGTTTGCCGCGCACTTGCACCTACATAGTGTTATCACCATTTACCTCGGTTCTGGATGATTTAAAATTTAAAAAAAATTTAGACACACTCGCCAAAATTATCTCTATAACATACCAAATGTATAGCTGGGTTTATCTTAATTCGTGTTAATGGCAGTTGAAAAACTGTTTGCCGCGTACTTGCACCTACATAGTGTTATCACTATTTACCTCTATTCCGGATCTTATTAACACCTGAGAAATTATTTACGAGGTGAAACGAGGTTTGAACTTACCATACTTTTAGGGGTGGATTTTCTGTGGTGAAACTACCCTCACACGTTTTTTCGTCGTTGATTTAAAAGCAGAAAATCCTAGGAAACACTGACAGACGATTTCCAACTGTAAATTATACCTTCTTTTATTGTTTTTATTTCCGTTCGTCCTAAACGTTTAATGATCGAATTAATCCTTATACGTTTTTTTTAGTTTAAATCTCCGAGACAAGATTTTCATTATTAAGTTTTAAATTAAATTATTTTTCTACTTCTGTCTTTTTTGGGGGTGGTTTCAATGGGGTGCAACCTCCTTTACTTGATTTTGGAGTACAAAATCGTAATTAGCGACCCTTAAGGCCTCGTAAAGACGGTTTTCGAAATACAATATTGAATTTTTAAAATTTTTACAAAAGTCACCGTAAGCGGTGTTTTTATGGGGTGCAATCAGCCTCACACGATTTTTGACCATTGATTCACCACTTACCATTTGAAAAATCTCAGAGAGAAGATGTCCATAGAACAGTTTTGTATTTTTTGTACCATTGGAGATGATTTGAGAGTGGTACAGCTACCTTGACTTTTCTAGTTTTCATTGTAAGGCAGATTTTACTAATGATGAATGAGGCAGATTTTACTGATAATAAATGTTGCTAAGGTATTTCAGTGATTTTATACACTGACTGATGTCTCGCAAACTGGTTAATTAATTACCGCATGTTATACCACCGAAAAAAATTAGAAAATTGAACGAACAAGTTTTGGTTATTTTTGACGTTCATCGTTCTTTAAAATAATCTGTATGAAGAGTATATTAAAATTTTTTTTTGTAATTTTCACACCAACCAATGAAAAGATATTGCAGAAAAAGTGCTATTTTCTTATTTATCTGGGAATCTAAGTACTCATAACTAATATAGGTGATAATTGCAGGCTTTCATACTTACAGTTTTGTTGTATTAGTGTATGGAGAGTGAAACAAAACTTTGTGTGTAATTTTAGCACTGGTGAATGGGAAATTATCGCCAATAAAAGTGCTGTTTTTTCAATGTATTGGGTATTAAAGAGCCTATAACTAATACAGGTTACGATTGCAGGCTCTCATACTTACAGTTAAATTGTATTAGTTGATAAAGAGTATTATAAACTTTTTTTTGTAATTTTAATACTGGCGAATGGAAAGATGTCGCTGAAAAAGTGTTATTTTTTTTATATTAGCGAATCTTAGTGCTCATAACTAATAGAGGTTATGATTGCGGGCTCTTATACTTATAGTCTAGTTGTATTAGTGTATAGCGAGTATTATAAAATTTTTTTTGTAATTTTAGCTCTGGCGAATGGAAAGATATCGCTGAAAAAGTGCTACTTTTCTAATTATCTGGGTATCTAAGTGCTTATAACTAATAGAGGTTATGATTGTGGGCTCTTATACATACAGTCTAGTTGTGTTAGTGTATAGAAAGTATAATAAATTTATTTTGTAATTTTAGCTCTGGCGAATGAAAAGATATCGCTGAAAAAGTGCTACTTTTCTAATTATCTGGGTATCTAAGTGCTTATAACTAATAGAGGTTATGATTGTGGGCTCTTATACTTACAGTCTAGTTGTGTTAGTGTATTGAAAGTATAATAAATTTATTTTGTAATTTTAGCTCTGGCAAAATGTATTTTTGGTAGTTACTTAGTTGTTCAACCAAATAAAATAACTTTGGATTTTCGTTGGATTTCAACGTTTGAAACTTAAGGTACATAAAATGTTGTTCAATATAAATACACACACACACACACACACATATATATATATACACTTCTATACAGCTATATGCATATACGTAATAGGGGTATCTGTCCTAATTATGGACCCTTTAAGAAAAATTTCGAGCTCAACTTTATTTTGTGTCTAACGGTCAATAGAACTACACCTTGTATAATAACGTATAAGTCGTTCGATTCTTTTTTAACATCAAATTTTTTTTTCATCAAAAAGTTTTGTTATTTTTATTTTAATGATGAAACAAGAAAAAAAAATTTTGTCCGTATTACGGACCCCCTCGATGGACTTTGAACCTATTGTGGACCCCCCTATTACGGACCCTGCCCATAATGTGGACCCCCCAATGATGGACCCTGTCCATAATGTAAAAAAATATTTGTATGTAATTAAATAAACGTTTGAAATTTATTAAATCTTTTTTTCGTATTCCATCTGTGATTTCTCTAGACAATAAAAAATACAAAAGTATCAGTGCAGAGGAACGAAATGAAATCATTTCTTTATCTATAAAAAGACAACAACATTTCGCAGATTTATCGTGACAACTACTTGTACAATAACTTTTATTCATGTTTTTGCCACACACTGCTTCAATTTTGACAGCTTGTCAGAGGTTTTAGGACTTCATTATGATCGCAGAGGCAAGGAAGCTTGCAACCATATGTATATGTGTAGTAGACGGGTACAATCCGCCGGATTGCAGTACTTTTTTTTCTGTACTGATTTTCATTAAAACTACACTTTTGTCAAACAAACGAAAAATTTCCTCTTATGCATCGGGAATCATTGACTATATTTCAAATTCGTTATAACTGGATCATGGTAAGCACAAAAAATAAAATGTTTTTCTACTCAACTTTATGCCCGTGATAATTTCATTCATTTTTTGCATTGCTTACCAACTAAAGATGTAAAAAATTTAGTGTTCATTTGATAGCTTATTAAAACCTGAAGTTTTTAAACGCATTATCATTAGTTGGGACGTCCTCGTGAATTCCACAGCTGGTTTTGCACATTTGATGCAAATTTGAAAAAAAACCCAGTGATCGCGCCATCTTGGAATGACGTCACAAGAAAAAATACCTTATAGTTACATAGTAACGGTATATACTTTTTTTTTTTTTTAAATAAATACCCACTTACGTGGTGTTTTTATTTTTAGGCTTTAATGTAAACGACTACATGTAGCCTTGGTGCAATAAGATACATTTTTACATTATATTTGTTACATATTACAAGTAATAGTTACATATTACATTATTTGTTATACATTATTGGATTCTCTTTTGTAGTTTGTTGGTACGGTGATGATGTTACATAGACAA